GTCATTAACTGCATTCTCTTTACAGTTTTTAAGTGAGATTTTGGATCTTTTAGCCCTTTATGATTTTTCTGATGACTATTTTGAATAATAATTGAAACAAAAGTCCAACACTGGGCCACCTGTTTCAACAAGTCCCGGCTGAAGGTCCTTCCCTGGCTCCCAGGGAATTTTGGAAGACATTAATTTAGGTGATCCTTCATAAAATGCTCTACTCTTATTCTCAGCGTAAGTGTGAAAACTTCAACAATTGCTCATTCTTTATAAGGAGTTTATCCTCAGTGTTATATTTCTTCCACTCCTGATTTACTGTATTTTCAGCATAACTGTGCTTGCCTTAACTTAATTCAGGTTCCACACGGTTAGAAAATGCAACTACTTTTAAAGAGTCCATGAGGTTGGTAAAAATTAAGTGAAGCTAAGTAGTGATCAAGTAGAAAGGAGCAAGTCCTCACCACAACAGTATTAGTTAGTCATGAGTAAACTGTAAAGCAGAGTAGCTCAACAGTTACAAGCCAAGTTTAGCTGGTATGACATGTTGACACGAAGATGAAGCCTTTCAGGAGAGCCAAGAACAGACAAAGAGGAGCAAGACAACACCACTGTGGCTGTATTTCAGTTGGCAGTATTATATAACAGGACAGTTTAAAATGAAAAGACAAACAGGAACAAACATAGCAAATTCTTTTTGAGTTTGATTAGTACTCACCGTTTTTCTGAGACAAAGAGCTAGTGTAGTTTCTCCCATCTACTTTTCGCTACTGCTGATCACAACACCAAGACACCAAAATTTTTACAAGAGATTACTATAGCACCACCAACAACAACAACAAATTTTTTTAAAAAATCCCTAGTTATTCTACCAAAAAGCACTAATCAAAGTCAATCACATAATGTCCCACTGACTTCTTAATCTTTCCAGATGTCTCCACATTGAGAAGTCTAGCTAAGGCAACTCTACACAAGCAGTGTTCCCAAGCCCTGGGTATTGCTAATATTCTTTCTGTAAAGCAGGTTTCCACTGCTTCCAGTGAATGAGAATCCTCTGCAGCCTCAGAGGAGTGTGGTAAACTCGGCTCATCATTTTCCAAAGCCTTGCATGAGGTTTAATTGCCTGACACTGTGGCTCAAATTCATCCATTGATTTTAATAACAAAATGCCTGCTGTCACAAACAAATAATCATACTGGTTTTTGGGCAAGACATTTCTCTGTGAATGTAATACACTGTCATCTAACAACATCCCAAATTATATTGATCCTTTGCTACTGCCCAAGTACTTTTCTTCCAAGGTTTTTCACATGTTCAGGCACACCAGTCCATTCAGTTCCATAACTTGCTTTTCTTGTAGTCATACATATCATAAAAATTTGGCATGATGTTCTCAAGCTCACACAGAACGTGGAAGAACCAGGAATACTCAACTCCTTTGACAGGATAGAATAGACTAGACTAGACTAGAAATAATTTCTGTTGAGTCTTTTAACTACAGGATCTCTTATTCCTTGTGTATACATATAAATATTGTAGATGTACAGAAAGAGAAAATACATACTGAGTGCACATACAGACCCTGACACGACACAATAAAATACTATCACAGAATCATAGAATATCTCAAGTTGGAAGGGACGCATAAGAATCATTGAGTCCAACTCCCTGCTCCTCACAGGACACCTAAAACTAAACCAGATGACTAAGAGTGTCATCCACATGCTCCTTGAACTCTGACAGGGTTGGTGCTGTGACTGCTTCTCTGGGGAGCCTGTTCCCATGACTGACGACCCTATCCTTGAAGAACCTTCTCCTAATCTCCAATCTGAACTTCCTCTGATGCAGCTTCATACCATTTCCTTGCTGGTCATCAGAGAGGAGCTCAGTACCTTGTCCTCTGCTGCCATCCTTAAGGAAGTTGTAGGCTGCAAGAAGGTCACCCTTCCGCCTTCTCCAAGCTGAACAAACCAAGTGACTTCAGCCACTCCTTTTAAGTCTTGACCTTGAGACCTTTCACCATCTTGGTTGCCCTCCTCTAGATACATTCTTTTGATGTCCTTATATTGAGGTGCCCAAAACTGCACATAGTACTCAAGGTGGGGCCGCACCAGTATGGAGTGGGATAATCACCTCCCTTGGCCAGCTAGCTATACTGTGCCTGATGCATCCCAGGATGCAGTTGGCCCTTTTGGCTGCTATGGCACACTTTTGACTCATACTTAACTTGCCATCAAGTCAGACCTCCAGATCTCTTTCCCTGGGGCTTCTTTCCAGGCTCTTGTCCCCTAGTATTTATGTACAACCAAGATTACCCCATCCTAGCTGCAGAGTCCAGAACTTGCTCCTGTTACATTTCATATGACTGGTGATTGCCCAGTTCTCAAGTCTATCCACATCTCCCTATAAGGCCTTTTGACCCTCAAGGGAGTCCACAGCTCCTCCTAGTTTAGTATCATTGGCAAACAACGTACATTCAACTCCTGCATCCAGATCTTTACTCCAGGGAGTCCCTCGGATACTTTAACAACCATGGAATACAGTATTCACCCCTTGTTTTTAAGAAACAGGTATCTTAGACCTTTCAGATTAGCTCATTCACTATTCTTTTGATTTCAACTGGGAAATAGCTTAGTAATATCTATGTATATGGCACTATATAAAGGTGGTTTGGAAGAGTGTGTGTCTGGTCCTTGAAGAACAGTAAAGAACAGTAAAGAACAGCAGAACTGCCCAGACTGGTGGTTTCTAATGCTGAGTGAATCTGTAATTTGCTTGTTTCTCCATTGGTCACAAGTTAGGCTAATATAACTTGTTGGTTGCATTCCCTTCTGGCTAGCAAAGACTGTACAATGGAAATATAAAGTCTTCTTCAGTTGAAATCAGTGGTAAAAAATCCATTGGCTCTAATAGGAGCAGAATTAGAGCATTCTTGAAAAAAATGGGTGACCTATTCTTTCAGCTTTGAAGGTAAATTATCAACCTCTCAGGTCCTTAACACACACGTCTTACAAGTTGAAACTACCTTTCATGGTATCTTCTAGGTCCTTTCTGTAAGCTCACCATTTTTTCTTTGTACAAAATTTTCCTTTCATTCCTACTCTATTACTACAGGGATAAATTTTATTATTAATCAACTTTATTAAGTCTGACTGTATAGAATTTAATTACAGTGATGTCTTCAGCATTTTTTTTTTTAATTTAAGCTTTCTACATTACTGTTGAGAAATATAAAACACTGCATGTGAAAATCTGAAGGATGCCTTCAGTTGATGGTAATCTGTGATGACAGGAGTGGGAATGAAATTCAAAAACTTCACAGAAAGCCCGAGTGAAAACTTACAAGGCAGGTGTGATAGCTCTGAGCTGAAATCTCCTCTGCCTGTGGGAAAGGGGCAGAGGGAGCCCCACCCATAGGTTTTCTGATTGTCATTCCAGTGGGTGAGCTCTAGAAGTAACTACCAGTTTTATGTCCTCAGCCATTCAGTGCCATGGTCTACATGATGTAATCAGATTGCCATTAAATTCACAACCTGTGCTTAGCATAGAAGCAGAATGACATACAAAATTTGACCATATTCAATGTGAGGAACTAAGATATGGACTTGCTCAAGCGGGCCATGAAGATGATGAAGGGGCTGGATGCAAGCACCTCCCCTATGAGGACAGGCCGAGTGAGTTGGGGTTGGAGAAGGGAAGGCTCCTGGGAGATGTTATAGCAGGCTTCTAGTACTCAAAGGGTGCCTACAGGAAAGGTGGGAATGGACTCTTTACCAGGGAGTGTAGTGATAGGAAAAGAGGTAACAGTTTCAGAGCGGATTTAGGTTAGCTATTACGAAGAAATTCTTTACTCTGAGGGTGGTAATACACTGGAACGGGTTGCCCAGAGAAGATGTGGGTGCCCCATCTCCGGAAGAAGAGTTCAAGGCCAGGTTGGATGGCCTTTGATGGAGCTTTAAGCAACCTGATCTAGTAGAAGGTGTCTCTGCCCATGGCAGGAAGAGTCAAACTAGATGATCTTTAAGGTTTCTTCCAACCCAAACCATTCTCTGATTCTACAACTCAGTGAGCGTAATTCAGAGTAAAAACACATCCCATCTTATGCATAGCTATATGCATGAACTACTTTAGTTGGAGGGAGACAAACTATGTATTAAAGCACCTCCTCAACTGAGATACTGAGGTTGTAGAATTTTTGAGGTTAAATGAGATTTAGATGCAATATATTACAGGTACCATTTTTTTATTTTTTCTTTTTCATTTCTTATGTAACAGACAGGTTTCTTCTGTGATTTAATCCTAAATCAAGGTCAAGTAAAGCCTTTTGCTAGAAATAACATCTCAGTGCAAAAAGGATTTGGAAAAATCCATTTTTAAAACTATAAAATTACTTCCAAATAGGAGTATAGGGTTGGCTTTATTGAAAATAGGTAACATGGATTTCTTAATAAAGGATTTTATGAGGTATTAAAGAAATCTTCTGACAGTATTACAAACACCTGGAGAAGGCCTTACTGCTTTCATATGACTGATATATTTCCTACCACAACTGCCTCCTCAGGGACTATTCACTGTTTCCCTCATTAAACTTTTTTGCAGGAGGAAAAAGAGACATCGGAGAACATCATCAGTCTCTGACACAGGTGAAGTGCTGGGGTCTAAACCCCAAGCCCTGAATGAGGGTTGATATATGGATGATGACCACAATCAGGCATGAGAGAGTTTCCTCTTGGTTTTCTCTCAAGGTCTGGCCAACCTTGGATCAAAGCCAATTTGGAGATCACCACCAGGTGCCCTGCCTTTAGTGTTAACATCAGGTGTCCTGCCTCTACAGCTAATAACATAAAGGCTGGCTCCACTTGTAATGAGTGGATGTTTTATACTAGTGGAAGAGCTCCCTGACTGTTTGCTACAGGTAGAGTTCTCAGCAATGGTGGGACGTCAAATCCAGGACAGAATGAGGATTATGTATGTAATGATGCTTTTCCTTGGTAGTTACTATGTCACTGGAGTTTGACTGGTGACCTGGTTTATTCCTTCCCCCATGATCTGGTTTCTCACTTGGATCACCCCTTTCTTTGCTACATCACATGCCACAAGCGAGCACATTGATCTATTTGTTCCTCCGGTTGTTTGCCACCTCATACCTCTCCTATATACTTTGGAATGGGATAGTAAAGTCTTTCTTGTATTGTATATGGCTACTGGCCTTATCTTTCCTACTGGGACATGCAGTCAGTAAAAGGCATGGGTCACTAAAAAGTATTAATATCTACAATGTGAAACATATTTTCCTGTATGTCTAGTGTAGCCACACCAACAGAAGTACCCATATATGCATCTGCACCCATGGAGGTGACTGAACTGCTTTCTTGCCCAGAGATCCACTGTATTGAGGACAACAATCCATGTATGAGCCATTTGTGGTTCAGATTGTGGAATCAAGTCACTGAGTACCTCAGCTATACATGAAAGTAGATGACTAGATCATTGACTATTACCTTGCAAAACTTTTCTGAGAAAAAAAAAGAGTAAAACGGCATCTTTTGCTTCAGCATTGGTTTGGGTTTCTTCCATGTTTTGTTTATTCAAGCAGCTTAAAAGAAGGATTTTTTTTCTTTTTATGAATAATCATCCTCAATCTGAACTTCTCATTCCAGTTTCTTCTTCTCACATAAGTGTGTTTATGGTTGAGTTATAACTTCCTGAAACATAAGGTTTGTGATAAAAATGCTGACAACTGTAACCATTGCCTAACCTACTGTTGTGGTCACCACTACTGCAACACAGCAGATTTTAAACTCGAGCCCTTCAAAGATGAAATAACTGTGGTGTTTTGTTGTTTTGTTTTTTTTTTTCTTTGCAGTTTCTGCTTTGTGGCATATGTGGAATATTGTGCGCGAAAAAAAAATCTGGACTTGTTGTAAGTTTTCCCACTGCATATAACATAAAAGTATTTGAAAGACATACTTATCTAACTCAAACTCACAACTGGAGGCTTTCTATGACCAAGTGTTTCTGATTGGCCAGTAAAAGTTGCAAGTCAGCAGTCCAAAAAAGCAATCAGTGTTTTGGGTTAATTATGCAAAACAAGCCAGTTCTGAAATGGTCTATTTAGGTCATGTCAATTTAAGCCATGCATCCTTATTTATCCCTCTCTGGATAAATTTGGATGGAAAACCTCTTGACACAGATTTGGGCCAAATCATGAAGAACTTCTCCAGTAATGTCGCTGAATTGTATTTTCTGACTTCCAAAACCAACACTGGGCTGCCACATCAAGGAGGCTGGTGATCAACTTTGGTTCTAGATATTGTAGCTGTTCACTGAGTTAGTAATTATTATTTTTTTTTTCAATCAGAATCATGTATAAGTCAGCTTTAAAGTGATGGTGGATGTTTTCTGTCTCTTCTAAGAATCAGAAGTACAGTCATTTTTCTGACTGCAGCAAAATGGTGTTATCACAACACAAGTCACAGCAGAATTTTATGTTAAGCGAGACATTATCACTTAGTATAGTATCATGTCTTTATGTCAGTGTGATTACCATATACAGATGGAAGTCAAGTAAAACCAGCATAAGAGTAAAGGGAATCAACATCTCTCTGCGTACTTTTGCATATCAATTAATTATACTAAACACTGTTACAATGACAAGTCTCATTTCTTGTGGACCATAAACAGTTCTTAAAGGCTGTCTGTTCTGGTGGTCTCACCACATTCCTGATTAAATTCTCATCCCAGTTGTGTACAGAATTGGTCTGTAAGGCTCCATAAATTGTTCCTACCACAATAGATAAGTACTTATACAAAGCCATGTTAAGTAACATCAAAGGCTCATCTAGATCAACATCTGACAGGACAGCAGTATCAAGGGAAATGAATAAGATAATAATTTAGCAGTGTCTTCACAATAAGGTCTTTTACCCTTGAGCCATTTGTGGCTCAAGGACATCGTGAACCAGGGTGTCATCTTTGTGATTAAAGTGGTATGAGGTTTTTACACATCTCATTAATTGCAGCCTGTTTCACATCCCTGTAAACTTCCCAGAAATATTTTACCTGAGTTAAAAACACAGCCACCACACTGACCTTCTGTATAGGTGCATCACAGATTTCTTTGTTCTCTTACTTCTTTGTCCAGCACATGCACCCTGAATGCTTTTGATGTCCCCACAAAAACTATAGAAAGCCTCCAAACTGCCACTTGACTGAACAAATTAGAATTAAACAGGAGACAGAGTCAGATGGCACATAAAGCAAGTGAGTTTCACTGCGAACTGAGAAGTGGTGAGAAACTACAGAATAGAAAATTATGACACATTCTGTAATGTTACTGTTTTGAACGAAACACTGGGAATCGGATGATTTGTGTCCTAATAGTCCACCTGTGGACTCGCTTTTAACATGACCAGCTCATTCTACCTAACTTTATCTTACATGCAACATCAGTCTTACCTTTTGTACACCAGAAGGTATTGTATTCCCTTGGAGCTCTGTGGGAGCTGAGGGAGTTAAAAATGAATGTCTGTGCAGTGTTTTGCAGTCCATGATGCTGTTGAAGCACTGAATTATAGTTTGTTTCATGTTTTTATATGAATGAGTCTGTCTCTAAAAATGTTGCTGCCACATAACCTCTCTTGTCTTTCCTGACAGATGATACTTTTTTCTGCTTGTTGCATCTGCGGACTAATTGGAGGAATCTTAAATTTTCAATTTCTTCGTGCTTTGACAAAGAAGTCGTCTGCTCTCTATTCCTTGCATCTTGCCTCCATGTCTCTTGCATGCATTGGAATTGGTGGTTGCACCCTTTCTTCATGGCTCACTTGTCGGCTAGCCAGCTATGAACAAAGGCGAATGTTCTCAGAAAGAGAACATTCATTGCATCACTCCCATGAAATGGCAGAAAAAGTGAGTTGTTTGTCCTCCTTTATTTGTTCTGCTTCTCCTAAAATGCTACTGTATGCGTTAATGTTTACAATTGGCAAGAGATATATTCAGTTTTCAATTTTATATGAGAGAGAGCTTCTGGGAAATGAAATGCTGCCATTCTGTGTAAGCTTTATTATGTTGCATTATATGGAGCTATTTTTAGGTACTGTATATTTGCAGTACATCCATTTCAATGAAGCACATCCATTTTCAACATAATTCCATTGTATAGCTATTCAAGGGCTTATCTGCTAAATATAGCACTTCATAAATAATTGTAAGCCTTATTAATATGGATTATCATGTATTGTACTGTGAAAAAGCACAGAATGTTTTCCGTAACCACATCATTGCATGCTTCCAGGATTTAATCAATTTCTTCCTCTCCCAAGTACTCAGCTTATAAAGTAGGTTGTTTAAATACAAAAACCACAGTTCACAAACCTAGATGATTAAGCCTAAGCACATAAGGGCATATTTAGACACCTAAATGGAACTGGTCTGATTTGTAGCAGCACTGACCATTTACTGCCTTTCTCTGTTAGAAGGAGGCTTCCCAGGATATCTAGGTCTATGTTTAGGTGCTGAAACTTAAGCTCCCGAAGTTGGGCACATAGGGCCACAAGAATTAATTGAATAGAATTCATTAAATCAGCTCCTTGAATTTATAGATCAGATTAATATTTGTGAAGTAAAATGTTCACTCACACCTTATGCTTTGTGTTTGGACCTTGTACACAATGCCTTTCATCTGAGAAACGAGTTGAGAAGGGAATAAAAGTCAAGGGGATGGCCCACCCAAACCTTCATGTGCAAGGCTGCATTACAGTCAAGTTCAACAGTCTGTATCATATCTACTGAGACCCCTGAACAGCAGAGCAAGTATTCATTCATTCAGACTGCAGAATGTTTTCAGATTCCCTGATAAAATGTGATATAGCAGTTAATTGTCCATTAAGTAAAAAATACTTCTTTGGTGTCTTAACTGAGATGAGACTCCAAGTAGAAATATATACTGAATCCAGCTTAGAAGATACTTGAAACATGTTTTTAAAAGTTAAACTGTACAGGTTATGACAGTAACAGAAAGCAGGGTGGTAAAATAAAGAGAAGAGATACATTTCTCCTTTTCATTTAAAAATGAAGCAGAATTCTGAAGAGCTGTGCAGGCAAGTATGACCATGGTCTTGCAGATGGTAGGCTAGGCCTTACCTTTCAAAAAGGCTCTTGCCTCAACAAGGACCAAGATGAAGCCCGTTCAAGAGAAAAAGAGAGAGGGAAACAAATACACAGCCTGGGCAGAAAAAAAAACTTTCAAAATAAAGACACTCGCCAACTCTGAAAATTTGGGCTGACGATAACCATGTATTATAGTAGTTCACTGCCTCCTTGCCTGGCCTGTTGACCTACTGAGCTTCTAGACACTTAGCAATGAGGACTGCCAAGTACCCACTTATCTTGGGTGAAAAGCCATGATGTATGTGCAGAGAAACCTTATTGCACATGCTCAGTGAATGTAGGATGCACACCCTGCATTCCTACCATCCATATAGGGATGGTGACTCCCTGCATATCTGTTGTAGAATCAAGTATGCATGCTTAGGTGGTCTGGCCTAGGACTTCTGTAGACCTAGAGGCTGTGGACTGCTGCTGGCAGGCTTGACTACATTAGCTCAAGGCATGCCCCTAAAAAATAATGAAGGCTACTTAAAAACATATTAAATTGGGCCCTGATATAGAAAACAGTTTTAAAGTGTTTTATACATAAGAATATTTTGTATATTTATACTGATATACAGTAATTTAGACATGTACTGCATCTGCATTTGTTTGTGCTATATTTATTGTATGATTGTTATATTTATATTAGAGATTGAGGGGTATTGAAATAACCGACCTGCCCAGCTGCCCGGTGGTTCCCCCGACACCAGAGTTACCTCCAAGGTACGCTGAACACTAGGGAGCTACCATATTGTTATGTCACTTCAGGAAGGGCCACCTCTAAGAGGAAGTCATAGTTTCAGCCAATCAAAGTTGGCTGTTGCTCTGATGTCACTCTGGGTCAGGAATGGTGCTTCCAAGAAGTGACATAATTCTGCGTGGTGAACGCTGCAATCTGGAAGTAAGTTGAGTATTTAAAGTACTCACCCTAGTTACAGACATCCAAATGTTCTTATTTGGATGTTGCCACCATTGACTCACTCTGCTTCTAATCTGTGTGCTTCTTCATTTCTTGAATTCAGCAACATTTTTTAATTTGTTAAAACTTTTGGTTTTTAAAATAGAAATATTGGGGAAAATAAATTGTTTTCAATATTTTCTGAAATTATGAAGATACTCTAATAGCTGATGTCTGTAGAGGATTCAAATGATAAAGCTGACAAAAGGAAATTTACACTCACTCATAAGTAGCCTTCTGACAGATCAACCTGTGGCTGACACAATTAATATTAAATGGCTTTGGCAGTCTTGGCCCTTTTCCCAGTTGACCGACATATTCAGCATAAATAAAAAAAAAAAAAAAAGGGTTTAGGCACCTACAAATAGACAAAATGTAATGCCTTGTTTCAAAGCAGACAACTAGATCCAGAGTTCAGTGTCAGGCAGGCCTGTTCCTCTTCACTATGTGGGGAGAATAAGGCACAATACAAAAACATCCAACACCATCACTTGCGAAATAGAGAGCTGGGTGGTAGAAAGTGCTCAAAATTCAGTAAGCTTATACGCCTTATTTTCTCTGTAGCTTACATTTGATTCAGGTGCATTAACTGGCAAGGCTACTTGGTTTGATGGCCCTAAGTTTACTTTGTAAAGAGGACTAGGACAACTTTTTTTTAAAATCTGTGCAGGAAACAAGTCTTGTGATATACTTCAAAATGTGGCACCTTCACCTCATCTATCCTGAATTTTAAAAAGAACACTCCAAATTGCATTTTCATTTGTACCCATTTCCTTTGGCATAGTTGGATGTTCTCTGGGATGTGCCATTGGACGTAACCATCAGATCACTTTATTTCTGCATCTAGATTCAATTTGATACAGAACAGACCTAGGATTACTCAGAATAAGGCAGTGCTAAGCATAAAATCTATGTGGCTTTGGAGCCTTGAAGGTCAGGTAATTTCTTAATTAATGTAGCCATCTACAGGCTTAGACACCTGCTCGGTAGGTGCTGTTTGGATTGCAATTTGAGAATTAGAAAATCTAAGTCTGAATAAACCTTAGTTTAGGTGCTTCAGGATCTGACTCATGATCAGGTCAACTTACTGTGGGATGACTCATTTGCCATTTGAGTAGCAGTTGCTGAACAGCTAAAAATTGTAGACTGGCATATTAAGGGAAAAACAAAATTAGTCTCATCCCAAGGCAAACCCCTAGATCCTCTCTGTAATCTAGAACTACTTCCCAGTTGTCTATCCCAGCTAGCATTGAATGGCATCTGTTTGCAGCATATCAGCCCAGAAAAAGGTTTGAATGGACTTGAAGACTTTACCATCTTGTTCCTTTGTAGGTTACCACACAAGTTTAAGCTGATGTATTTCCAAAGGAAAAGTCACTAAACTTGCACAGATGCCATCAATGCTGTATATGTTGTCTTAAAATAACGTCCAACTCAATTCGTACCAATGAGTCTATCAGCTTTCAAATGTACTTAATTTATGTAGGAAGAAGTGTGGTTTTTGTTTTTTTTTACAGTGAGATTTATCAAGCCAAATAAACATTACAATCTTAGCTAACTTAAATTTCAACCATCATAAAATAATTGCTATTTTAATCAATGTTTTCTATTCTTGTTGCAGGAAATGACAGACAACTTAAGCAATGGTGGTCCACATCTGATTTATAATGGAAGTGTATATTAAGAGATTTTAAAAAGGTCCATGGAAACAAGTGGGTATAGAATTTTCTTCAGGAAAAAAACAGACTCCAAGAAATTGAGAAAACTGAACTATTTTAGCTTTTATGGCTCAAATGTCACAACTGCAGAACAGCACAGTTGGAATTCTCTTTTAAAATGGTTCAAAATTTGTCTCCTAAACGTTTTGCGGATATACAATATTTATTCACATCCTGGCTATTCTCCTTTGTTTTTTTGTCTGAATAACTTTTCAGAATTGTGATAGCATTTGAAATAGACTTCTCAAGACTCTTCTCATGAGGACTCAAAACCCAGAAAAAAAATAATTAGACTGGACTACCTTTAGCCCAATCACAGGATTCCTACAAAGAAGAGAAAAGGGCAGAGGAAGGATGGTTCAGGGAAATATTTTTCTCCTCCCCACGTGGCAACACCTGGTGTAACATGATGGTTTGAGATCATGCGGCATGGTACCAGCAACACACCTGCACAGTACCCCTCCCCACACTGCAAATGCATCCAGCCTCAGTTTTCTCAGTAGAGTGTATCCAAAGACAGTACAAATTACTCTTCCAAAAGGCTCCCATTTCACATTCAGAGTGTATATGAACAGTGTGCTGGAAACAACACCAGCATCTTTGTTTTGAAAGACAGAACGCTCGAAGAATGCCATAAATCAAAACCTCAGCAATGCCTTGTTGTAAAGAAACTGTAAATACTTTCAATTTGTGAATGAAGTATATTTCGTAATTTGTTCATAAAAGCTGACAAATAAAGTGATATGTAAACCAGAGATTTTAGAGAGATCTTTGTTTTGTTTTGTTTTTTTTTTTTCTTTTTAGAAAGATCTTGCAAAGCTGAACCGTCATGCTTGCAATTTTGCACAACACATTGAAAGGTTCATAAAGGGGTGAAGCAACCTCAGAAATGAGAAAAACAAAGGCTGAACAGAGAGGTATGATTAAGGTCAACATGCTGGCAATTCTGCACATCCACAACAGAGTTTAGAATCTCTTCAAGCACTATGTATGTTAATGCAATGGCTTTAACTGACCCCAAACCTTATTGTAGGACCTACTGGCTCATATAATCACAAAAAAATGGAAGATGTCTGTAACAGAACACATACAGCATAATATGAATATAATATTCATATAAAATCACTCATATGCTGCATAGTGGCTCTATGTGGTGTAAAATCCAGCAATTCAACATGAGTTTCAGATGTGAACATTATTGATGACTGGCAACATTTGGTGATTTATACCCATATTCCCAGACAAGTGTGATTAGAACCTTGTTGTTATTCAAACCACACCATAAAAAACTCTAGAAATCACATTAAATTGTTTTGTGAATCTCTATGGTATAAAATAATCTTTAATTCAATTATTTTATAATTTTCTGTCTGTAAAGGAGTTTCCTATCTAATTATAACTTAGGAAACATCTTCACTGCAGTTTAAGTGTCTCACTTCACACAAACTAGTTGGACGGCTAAGTATGTGATTCAAAATCTGCTCCACCTTATAAGGCTTCTCTTCACTCACCTACTGTCTCAAAGGGCTTTTGAATCTTCTCAAAGCTCTCATATATGTATTACATATCTTAGTAATTCCTAATGAGACTATTCAATTACATAAAGCATACAGATAATGTCACAGCCAAAGAATTAGATTAAGGCATCTCTGTTCAAAGGAAGTGCTCCCCTTCCCAGGTCCTACCAGCTTTTAGACTGTCTCCTCTACTACATTCCAGCTTGTTCGGGCTCTTTATAGATGCTTTATAGATGCTTTATAGGCTCCTCTCCCCCAGAAGCAGGAGACATGGGATATAGGTCCCCAGTATGTGCCCTTCTGGGATTACTTTTGCTGCAGCCTGGACACAATCTGTCAAAGCAGGACTACTGTCTGGCTGAAGTGCTGGGGTTAAACCCACAGCCCTGAATGAGAGCTGGCATATGGATGATGCCCACAACCAGGACCCTCCTGACTGGTTTTCATACAGGGCATGGCCAGTCTTAGGTGGGAACCAATTAGGAGATCACCACCAGGCGCCCCCACCTTCCACATTAACTGGGAGGTGGGGCAAGAAGCCACCTCTATAAGAAGTGACTCCGCTGGTGGTGTAGTTGGATGAGCTGCACACACAGTGTATGTAGTGTGTGGGATTCTGGCTATTGAAAGGGCTCTCAGGATGGCAGTGCAGGATGAATTGGACTGATCAGTGGGGTCCTTCAATCTACCACTGACTGGCTCCAGAGTCAGCTCACTCCCTTCTGCACACCCTATGCTGGAAGTGAATGTGTTGATTTATTCCTCCCTCCAGTGGTTTGGCATGTTGGATCATTGGTGTATGATTTAAGAGTGGAGGGAGAACTTTGGCTGCTGTTTTGCCTGATGGTGATAATATCTTTCTTATTCAGGCAAGCAGTCAGCAGAAGAATGGCCTGCAGAGTTTCATAGAGGTTGAAGTAATTCACACTGGATATAGAACCAGAGGAGGTGGTTCTAAGACTCCCTCCTCATTGAATCAGTACAAAGTATGCTAAAGGGCCTTATCAAAGAACAGCAAAAGCAAAATAAATTACTCAAAACTCTACCTCAGAACTTCCTGTTCTTCACTAGCTCTGTAGGACAACTGTAAAATCACTCTTTGTACAGAGATATCTTGTGACACATCAGGACTAGGAATTGTAGTCTCAGATCCTACAGCATAGTTTGGAATTGAAGGTCAGAATCGACTCAGGAATGACATGACAGAACAGATCATGACACCACCCACTTACTCGTCACTAGCACTTCATTTCCTTGTATGGCAGGAAGAACATGGGATGGTGCATAGGAATAGGTGACTCTTCTATATCTAACACAGTAGTCCAGTGCAATAGCCACTTTCTCATGCTTTGGAAAGGAAAGGACAGTACATTCTCCAAGCTCAAAATGTATGAAGCCTTACTGTAACTTCTGAAACACTACCATGCTACTGCTACTCTTCAGGAGGTAGTAGAAGGATAGAGAAGAGATTTGGGCCCCAGAGAACAAAAGAGTCAAGTGTTTAAATTTGTTTGTGGTTTGGTTTTTTTTTTCTTTGTATGCTACTAAGCTTGTAAAATGCAGAAAAACTGTCTTGTTCTTTCATTAATAAAAGCCTTGAAAATGCAAAGATGGAGTTCAAAAGACTTAGGAAGAAATGTGACAAAGAAGATTGCTCCTACCTGACACACAGAATTCTTAAATTCAAAGTATATTACCATAAAATATGGATGTGGTAGAGTAATTCTAGGAAATGATTCACTTTGTTTAATGAAGTTTTCTTCCATAACTGCATACAGAGTCCAACTGTAATGGAAATATTTTCTCTATGTGTTCATTACTAGTACATTGAAATTGAAAGGACATTCATCCAACTTATCCAACTGTTATGACAAACAAAATTTCCAGTTTTCAGAATGTCGCAAGCCAACATAATCTACATCAATAGCTTGAAGGCTGAGCACCAAAATCCATTTTAATCTAAGTTGAAGCATGTATTGTCCTTAACACTGTTGTTTCTGATTCATACTGTTGCAAAAGCAGATGCTGACTCAGATTCTCTAAGAGCTATTCAGATGTTATTTACTAGGCCAAGCAACACTCTTCCTGAAGGAGCTTACTTCTTGAAATTGTGTGTAGGACTTAGCTGGTAAGACCGTAATGTATGCTTTAATATTTTAGACTATGCTTTGCATTTTATAGAACCTCAGCCTATGAGAAATACACACACTTTGAATTTACAAGAATCAACAGTTCTTACTGCAGACTATGCAGAAAAGTGCATGTAATATGTTCTAAATTTTTGTCTGGTACAATCTTCAATATATATCTGTTGCATTAGGACATATGAATTTCCCTTCTGATAGTCTGGGGAAGTATGAAGGCCAGTTGAGCAGGTCAGATTCAATATGAAATTTACATTAAACCATAACCACAAACAGTCACATCTGAATTTTCTTTGAAAGTATGATTTTGAAGATAGAGGGAAAAGAAACCATAACGGTTTAAAATATTTTTAATCCTTTCAGACCTCAGACTCTGTCAGATTAAGGAGTTAAAAGGAGTCTGTAATAATAAAAAGCTTAGAAATATCTAAAAGCAGATTGGTATTACACTACAGTATCATTGCAGATATTACTGCATAATCTTTCTTTCTAAAATAATTCTAGCTAGCTTTTCCTTCCTGTATCAAACTGACATCTATAACTCCACAATAAATCTCCAGCAAGCCACAAAGTTGTTGTACATGCTTCTGCAGGTAGATTTTGGAGAATATTTATACAACTTGCACAAGGGCTACAAGATCGACTCACAATCTCTGGGTAGGGGCAGGGCAGAAAAAAAAAAGTAAAATGTTTTTGGTAAAACATAATTCAGTTGGAATGAAGATACTAAACCCCTCCTAGCTTAATATTATCAGCCTGTGGAATTCTGATGAAACTTGGTAAGCTTGCTTAAGAAGGCCTTTTTGCCTGATAATTGTAAAATTGTGAGAATGCCACTCAGTGTTCTGAAGAAGAAGAGTGAACTGGAAGAAATGAATCAGTAACTGGAATTTCAGCAGAGACTTGTGTGCCTGGAGAGACTTGTTTGGCTGTGAAAGTGGTGTTCTGCTTCAGAAAGTAGCTTTTATTTGGAGAAAAAAGTCCAAGGGCTTGCACCAAGGTCTCTTTCGTCATTTGTCTACAAAGTAGTCAAAGATATATCAAAGACATGAGATAGACGCATCTACTTCTGCAAGAGAACTATCATTAGCTGTGCAGAGCAGACTCACAATTGCTCTGTGATTCCCTCAAATGAGCCTTGAGCTTACGCTGTAAGTTATTTTTTATTTCCTTTAACCACCAATTCACAGCAGGTTGCTTTAAAGATTTCCACATCAGTGTAATTTTGCTTTTTAATCAGCAGAAGTTGGATTTTTTTTTTCCTCCAGAGATCATTTCTGAAACCTAGATTTAGTCCTGTCATAGCTGCAACATGTCTCTTTAAAAATACAGGCAGTTAAGTCAAACAGGTTGACCAAGTACATTAATTAAAAATAACTCTGTATCCATGAAAATAGCTGTTCTGATGCACTACCATAATGTGCAATGGGGACAGCCTAGGGAGGCAGACAATGAGAGGGACCACAAGTACAACTGAAAAAGCCTTGAACTGCAAAATGTCACTACATATATAATTCCATTGATATAAACCATGTGTATCAGTCAACACAACTTCTCTTTGTACCCCTAAGAAAGAAGAGATAGATTTAAAAGGAGCTAAGAGCCATTAGGATTTCTCACATCCCACTACTAGTAATTAGTGTGAGACAAATCAAGTGATGTAACTGGGCTCACAAACTTGTGCAGCTCCTTTCCCACATCATTAGGTGAATCTTTTTTATCCCTCCCACTTCATGCTGGTTCAAGCTAGGAGGCCATGTCATATATCTTCCCTTATCTCTCCTCTTCTGT